CCAGGCTGCTTTATATTTACTGGAAATTAATTTCACTAGGTGAAAAGCAAAATATTTTTCTTTACACACTCTAGGCTGATTTTTAGTCTTTCCCGTTAGCACATGCCAAAGATATGGGAAGGTTGAAAGGTTGAAAGCAGTCTGATTTATTACGTGGAACAGGCAAAGCACAATTTGTGTTCGTTGTTGTTTCTTCTGGATTTGTTGTTAAAGTGTGTGTAACTGTTTTCTTGGAAGGCTGGATTCAATGATTAAAACATGTCAATTCTTTTCAGTTTTAACTCTAAATGCCCTTGAACTGCTTCATAATTCTGACTGTTAGTTTAAAAAAAAAAAAAACCTAAGCTGGTGTGACTTAATAGGTACAGATATTTGCTTGCTAGGAATTTCTGAATATATTGGGGATATTGGACACCGTGTGCTACCTAAAACCCTTAGGTTTAAAATCAAGTGGGTATGAAGTACCCTGTTAAGCTTAGATACTTAAGTTTTCTTTGATTGTTTTGTTTAAAACTGTATGTTTGTCCTTTTCATGCATGCATCATTTGGAGTAATTGTAGTTTATGGCTAGTGTAAATAACATGGTGGAAACCTATCTCAGATTCCATTGGTTTCTCATCCCTGATGGCCTGCACTTTCCCCAGTTGTTCTCATGCTCTCTCAGCTTCTCAGATTGAGTGGGTTGTGTGATATGCAGGCTATCGAACTGAATGTTAACAGTAAAACAAAATACTACTTGGAAATGAAACAGATAAATTCCACTCACAAATTTCTGGCAGGGTTGTTCCTAAACATGCAACAGTTGCATCTTCATCCTTGTATTGCCAGAAGATGCTACTTTAATAATATTTAATAATATTTTCTTTGAATTTAAAATGTTTCTTTTTATAGTAATCTTTTAGATAGATATTAATCTTCTAATCCCTTAAATAAGATTTGTGGTCATGTTGTTGTCTGTAATCCATGATCCCTTATGCACTCAAGAGTGGTGTTGTGTTTTATTGTGGAATAAATCTTTTTGAGCAAATTCCATGCAAACTTACAGTCTTTGTCTGTAGAGCATCCCTAATACACAGTTGATGTTAACAGACTTTCAGGGATTACCTCTGTTTCTTTCAAGTTTTTCCCCAAGTTAAATACCATCTTTCCTGTCATGTAGCATTTATTGGTTTGTGATGTACTATGTGTGGAACCTATAAATTATGCTTGTAATAAACATGAAAAGAACCTGTTCCCTGAGCTGTTAAGTTTCTGGACCGAGATCTCGCAAGTAACCAAGTGGCTGTCAGCTCAGTCATCAGAAATGTATGTGCTTGACAGCTCCACACTAGTTAGTCTGACTTTTGGAAGTATGTTTATATTGTGGCCTCTAAAATACTAAAGGTTGAAGGTCAATTCTTGAGGTTCATATAGAAGAAATGCTATTGCTTTAAAAAATCATGGCATTTGTGGACACTGTCCCCCCCGCCCCAATGTATTACTGAACAACAACAAACTTACGTGTTCAGTTTAGCTATTTGTTGAGAGTATTTATTTCTGGCAGCAACAGTGTCATATTTGGAATGATTCAGTTGGTTCAGAAAATTACTTTCTTCAATAAACATTTCAGTTTTTTATGGAGTATGGGTGTTTGTCAGTATATTCTAATCAACAGGGCATATTTACCTAGTATATTCGGCACTCTCTGACTGATTCTTGTAGGTGTTCTGAAATGTTTATTCTGAGTCCCATTTTTGTCAGCCCTCAGGGCTGGGTATTTATTATTTTGATGGCAAACACAAGCAGAGCAGAACTTCGTTCTGATGTTCTCAATCTTCTCCTTAATTACAGAAAAGTAATACAGCTTTGTGGCTAAGTAGAAAAGTTTCTTGGGATTTTTCTTCCTTTAACTCTTTCTGTACATTCATCTGATGCCAAGGAAGAAATTATGAGAAAACTTGAACTTCTTTGCAACGATAACTTTGCAAATAGTTTCTCTCCTTTTGAACTGCTTGAGGAATCACAAATTGTCTACTGTTGAAGGTAAGTATTAAAACTAGAAAGGACATGTCTTTTGGCAGTGTCAGCTGAAACTAAGGACATTCAAGTATTCTTTATTAGGCAGCTTATGGGACTCAAAGCAACTACATTTTGTAAAAACAAACAGCAATGGAGGTATTATGCAATCCCAGAACTATGTGTCAGTCTGTTTATGCAGCAGCAATATAAATTCCTGTGTGCATTGTTCTTTTCTAGGTTATCTGACAGTGTGGTGGTTTGTGTCATAATTATGATATATTTGTAATACTATATATTGGTACGAACGTATGCAGTGGAATAGAACTGTATGTATTACGATAATTTGAAGAGTGAATAGACTTATTTCAAATATACAGCTGTCTGTCAGAAGATGGAACTTATACCTGTCTTAGCATTAGTATACATTTTCTTATCTATACAGTGATTTTAAGTTGAGAAAGGATGATGAAACAGTGTTTGGTAGTCTTTACTGCTTTCTTTATCCTGTTCTCAAGACTTGAGGTAGAAACTGGAAAAATGCAGAATGTTCCCTGTCAGTCTGCTGTCCTTTGGAGAACTGTGTAATGTTGATGCTTGTGAATTTTGATGTTGGCATTTTGAGGGTTTTTAGAAATTATTTTGAAAGGGGCAAAAATTGCACCAAGAAAATAAGTTCATATCAAGGTCTTTTGTGAATACTTTGAGTCTTAGTACTTCTAGTAGTTTCAGTAGTACTTAATTACCAAATACATAAAGATAAGTAGGGGAGGTCTGTGAAGAACTGCAACTTTGGAACTGTGTTCTGGTTTACCTAAGCTTCTGTCAGAGCAAAAGTGCTGTCAGTTGCCTGGGGTTCTTGGAAGCTGCCACAGGTTGGATGTTGAAGATACAGAAAAGTTGAGACATGGACTGTTCTGCAGGGAATGCTCGTAGTAGAGTCAATTTTTCCATCAGCTTCTGTGAAGCTTGAGGTAGGTTTTTTTTCTTTCTTGGTTTACCTTGCACTCAGGAACCTCTTGCAGTTTGTTTTGTGTGTTTAAATGTTCCAGTAGCTATATTTACAGACCAAGTGGTTTTAATAAGTGTATTTCCAGGGATTTTTACTTGAAAATCATAGGCCAGGGGGACTATACTGGATCTTCTTTCCAATGAGCAGATTTTTATTTAGGAAGAGGGACTATGGAGATGGATTCTGCATCTGTATTACATTAGTAATTCCAGAGGAGTTCACTGCAGGTATATGTTGCACAACATATTTTTTGTCTTTTCAGTCACATGTATATTTTAGAATAAAGTTTACCAAGTTAATCTTGGAATTGGCAGACAGTGTCTTTTGACTATGTCTGCTTATTTTAGCTGCATGTTAGAATTTGCAGATGTGCTAGTGTAATTAGTTGATGTGTCCTTTTGTTTTTAAGCATGTGTTTGCTGTCACTTTTAAGATGGAGCTGTTTTGCAGTAAAATTCAGTTTTTACTCAATATGCAGCTATTGTCTGCTAAGCAGTATATCTCACAGCTTGGAAAATTTAGAGACGCAGCTTTTGTGCACACGAGGTGTTTCCACGGTATGTTGTTCTTAGTTGGCCATTTGTCTTGATCATCACCAGTGCAGCTGTACTAATCTACTGTTTATTAGACATGACTCTTGTTTGTTGGAGTGTTTTCCTTATTTTAGACAATGGAGAAGACTAATTGATTTACTAGCATTTCAATTTTTCCTTGTACAAGTGCTTCTGAAGTGTTCATCAGCTATTGGAGTCACTGATGCCTATTTATTTTCACATCCTAAGTTGCACTGATGACACAAAAGGGTTTTTTTCTCATTTCCTACAAAGCCCTCTTCCAAAGAATGGACTTGTTCATATTCACGCTTACTGTTAATAATAGTTTCTAATGTGATTCAGATTATAACTTAAATTTTGACAGAATGGGTAGAAAAGGCTATGCTCAGTATTTGCGTATACCTGTAGTGTATAGTTGTATCTTTTGTTCTATCCAGAGTATGCTCACTGAATTGGTAGAAAGTTTAAATGCCTTTTATGTTGAGTACTCTTAGTGAGGCTGTTGATAGAGAGTGGAAATGGTTTAGGATGTAGTGGCTCTTTCAGCTTTTCAGTACAATCATATCTTCCTGACAGAACTCCCCAAATTTATAAATACGTTCTTTAATATCGACTAGTCTCAGTGTTCACAGTAGTAATAAACATGCAGTAACTGCTGTGAGCTAGCCTAATTCCTGTTCCGTGGTGACTTTTCACTCTATGTATTATTTCACTTTAGTTCAGTTTTATTTGGTGAAAACTTTATTGAATTTGAAGGGTAAGTCTATTTGAGGGCTTTGAGCCCAAGGGCTCAGTTTTTAGAAAATCTGATTCTAATCCTCCGAGATTTTTAGCAGGACTATAGGGAAAAGGCTGTTTCAGTTTCATTCTGTGAGATTTGAAAATAGGTATAAATGAAATCCCTGTATGTTCCTTAAGTAGATAAATACCTGTAAAGGTCTGTGTCCTCCAATGGGGAAGCTTCAAGGGTGCTCTACTACTCTGAAGTAACCTGTGTATTCTGGTAGATGCCAGGGTTATGCGTTGTGTCTCACAATTAAGTACGGACTTGAAATTTGACATGTTTTGCTGGGTTCTGTTTTTGCTTAGTGCTCTGTTTTTTCATGTCTCCCTCGGCAGTTATTTAAAAATAAACAACAACTTTTTGAAACAATAACAAAGTACATTACAAATAGTTTTCTTTTTTGCTTACTGGGGGTAATTGCCTTTGGAGATGAATGAGTCCTCAAAAGTATGGTCAAACATATTTTATCTTTACATTTGTCAGTGTAACGTTTTAAACGTTTGAATTTAAGCCTGCTTAGGATGACTGTACAACTGTATTGGCTTTAGGCATCTGAAATGAATACTTCAAGAAATTATGTCAAGTGTTCATATGAATCTACTCTCACTATATCCCAATATTTGATGTGCTTATATTTCTGTCTGGTTTATTTCAGGAATTTGCAGCACTTACAAAAGAGCTAAATGTGTGCAGGGAGCAGCTGCTTGAAAGGGAAGAAGAAATCGCTGAACTGAAAGCAGAAAGAAATAATACAAGGGTTAGTTCCTTGTCTTTCCCAAGATTGCTGTTATTAAAGCATCCACCTACATGGAGAAAAACATTGAATGTTGAATTTGAAAAGCTAAAAGTATTTTCTCCCTGATGAAAAAGGAAATCCTTTTTCATGAATCCCTCTGGAAGTGGGAATGTGTGTTGATTAAGAAAGTTTGGAAGCTTATGCACAGCTCCATGCACTGCTGTGCAGAATCAGGAAAAGCTTGTAAGACTGCACTACTATATGTCATTCAGATTTCTTGTTGTTAAAGTTTTGTAGTAATACAACACCCAAGATAAGAGGAATAGAGTGGCCAAGCTGTAGTGATCTCTTCCAGCAGCTTACACTGCTGCCAGCAGAACAGTTGCTCTCTGATTTAGAGAATTTCTTATGTGTATCCTTCTGACAAGCATGCAATTCCTCAGATTGGTAGTAGAACTGAAAAGACCTGCTTAAGTGGAAACCTCATTTAAAAAATAGACTGGAAGAGAGATGTAGGAAATGCATTAGCTCCGATACAACTTCTAACATGGGTGAAATGTTAAAAACGGCCTGTCGTGGTTTAACCCCAGCTGGCAACTAAGCACCACACAGCCGCTCGCTGACTCTCCCCCGGTGGGATGGGGTAAAAGTGAGAAAACTGATGGGTTGAGATTAAGACAATTTAATAGGGAAAGCAAAAGCTGCACATGCAAGCAAAGCCAAACAAGGAATTCGTTCACTACTTCCCATTGGCAGGCAGGTGTTCAGCCATCTCCAGGAAAGCAGGGATCCATTAGGTGTAATGGTTACTCGGGAAGACGGACACCATCACTCTGAACATCCCCCCCTTCCTCTTCTTCCCCCAGCTTTATATGCTAGGCCTGACATTGTATGGTATGGAATATCCCTTTGGTCAGTTGGGGTCAGCTGTCCTGGCTGTGTCCCCTCCCAGCTTCCTGTGCACCCCCAGCCTCCTCGCTGGTGAGGTGGAGTGAGAAGCAGAAAAGGCCTTGGACTCTGTGTAAGCACTGCTCAACAGTAACGAAAACATCCCTGTGTTATCAACACTGTTTTCAGCACAAATCCAAAACATAACCCCATACTAGCACTGTGAAGAAAATTAATTCTATTCCACCCAAAACTAGCACATTCTCCACCCCTTATTCCATATCATTTGTCATGCTCAGGTCTCACACTATCCCATACAACCTTATTACCCACCACCCCCCTTCCCATCCTTTGATATAATGCACAGATATCATTCCTCTTGTCTGTGAACCACCCTGTAAATGCCAGTATAATGTCCAGAAATGTCCACAAAATGTCCACGGAGTTAATTTAGTCCATATGTTTGTGCTCCTTCTGTTATGGTGGTCACTCAGGACAGGAGAGGTGGTGTGGAGTTACTGGGCACCAAAGCCAGCTCAGGTCAGGTCACTGCTACACTTGCACTACTGCTTGTAAGGGTTGTCCTCCATTGGTTCAGGTCGTTCCTGCTATAGTAATTCCTATAACATGCAACTCAAAATACGGGTTACAACATTTTAAAAGTATTTCCATTGCAGTCTCCACCCCTGGTCCCTTTTGGGGCTCTATCCCAGCCAAAACCAGCACACAGGTCCTTATGCTTGATGCAGTAGTCTTTTGCTCTCAGATTTGAAGTTCAGAATGCAAAACTTGATGTTTTAGGAGGCAAGGTTTTCTGCAGCTATGCAGAACAGGAATAAACATTGTTCCTTTTTTTTTTGTTTTAGCTGTTACTGGAACATTTGGAGTGTCTTGTCTCCAGGCATGAGCGATCTCTCAGAATGACTGTTGTAAAGAGACAAGCTCAGTCTCCAGCAGGAGTTTCTAGTGAAGTGGAAGTTCTCAAAGCACTAAAATCTTTATTTGAACACCATAAAGCCCTTGATGAAAAGGTAAGGAAATATGGTAGCTAACATCTTCTCATCCTGTCCCCTCTTTCTTCTGTGTGGACCATCTAGTTGTTTGTACTAAAGTTGTAGAAGTTGGGTTCTCTGAACTTTTCTCTGTATTAAGATAGTGGCTTTGCTATAACTGCATCAGTAGCCGCCCTCCTAAATTAACATGTTGAACTATAAAGCAAGGTGCTGTAGTTTATACTAGTACTTCATTAACTGTGCTAATGTCAACTAAGCATGGGTTTGGGGCAATATGTTCATTGTAGGAATGCATACATTTGCTTACCTGTACAATCTCAGGATTTAGCCTTCCGATTATGTAATACAAGAAACAGACTAGAGAGAATAGGAGGAGAGGAATCTGCTTACACTGTAATACCAAATAAAGCTAAATTAAAGGAACTCCACCCTTTAGTTGTGCCTGATATTGGCAGCAGGATATGCAAGTGGTAAAGTTTACTGTGAATTTTGCTGCTAACTCATAGTTTACCTAACTTTTGTGACCCTTGGATGTAAAGTCTGGGAAATTATTTTAAGTAGAATTCTCTCTTTTCTTCCTCTTCTTCTTTATGTTGTAAATAAGCAAAAGCATACACACTTTGTGCCTTACAAAAGGATAAGCAAGTTCTGGATATGATTAATTCTTGCCTAAATGTGCAGGTCATGTTGAGATATTTGCTTATGACAAAAAAGATTTTTAAGACCTGCATTGTTTCTCTAGAAGGTTTTTTGTAGTGTATGTTTTAATTAGTACTGACTCAAGATTGAGCAGGGCTCTAAATGTAATGGAAGTAGTGTCATTTATCTGAAGGGGCATGGCAGCATGGCAGTATGTGAAATTGATTTCTTTTTAATTTGAAAATAATTCAAATTATTTGAAATTACCCTTTCAGGTAAGGGAGAGGTTACGAGTAGCACTTGAAAGATGTAGCTTATTGGAAGAAGAACTAGGTACTACGCATAAAGAGGTAGGTTTCTTTTTTTAAAAGAAGTCGCCATGTGTGCATTGTGGGTGTTTAGTCAATATTTGTACACAGTAATTTATTTTGCTATTAAGGTTCACTTTCACTTCTTGTTTCTGATTTTGTTAACCAAATGGGATAACTATAACTTTTAACTTAGTCACTTTGAAAGAGCAGGAAAGGAAAACCAAAACACGCCTCCCCCCACCCCAAATCCCAACAAAGAGTTCCTGTGGCTTTAAAACAAGAATTTTTGGGTTGCAGTGGCATAAGCTTTTGAGTGCCTGTGCCATATTTTATTAATACTTAACCTTGCAGTAGAATCAGTAATTGTTGGTTTGCTCTTTTGCTTTTGCAGCTGTTCCTTATATTATTAGTGAGAAAGGAATTGACTTGAAACATATGTATATCAACTTCTCTTTTCTTTTAGTTAATGATTCTGAAAGAGCAAAATAATCAGAAGAAAACACTTCCAGATGGGATGCTGGATATAAATCATGAACAAGAAAATACACCAACTACAAATGGGAAGGTACAGCTGTTTACTTTTTTTAGCTGATGCTTGATTTTTAATCATTAACTGTAACAACTCAATTTTAAATGCTAATAAAAGATTTTTTGAGTGATTTAATTAAAAGTCTCAGTAACTACAATTTCATTTTTTGCAGTCTATCCAATAATAAAAGTATCTTGGGGGAGGGGTATTTACAGGTAACTAACTGTTTTTCAAATTTGTGTAACATTCAAATACGTTTTTCCTGTTTAATAGCGATCCTCTGATGGTTCTTTATGCCACGATGAAAACCTTGCTAAAGTGATCGAACTCCAAGACATCATAGATAAGCAAAACAAAGAGCAGACACAAATGAAAGAACGTCTTACTGCTTTGTCTAGCAGAGTAACAGAGCTGGAAGAAGATCTTGACACAGCTAGAAAAGACTTAATAAAATCTGAAGAAATGAATACAAAGTTACAGAGAGATGTACGAGAGGTGAGGAACAAACTGTCAAAATTTGGGTAGTCACAAATGCGACTGCTTTATAAAATTTCACTGTCATGAAAGGTGCTCAGTTACACCTTTATGCTTTTGAATGTCTTTGGTTTGATAGGTGAGAAGAAAATGTTTAGAGCATGGTGGTGCTATTTTTTGTTTAAAAGACCAGTTGCTTAAGAAAATTTGTTCTCAGAAGAAATGTACGACTAACTAGATACTTCATGAATATATTGGAGATTTAGCATTGTGATCTTTAACATGTTCTTGAAAAGGTGCTTGATCTTGTCATAAATGCTAAGCTTATTCATGTAGTTTAAATTTTTTATTTTTGTAGTTGCACATGGTTGAGGAACAATTTTAATTTCAGTGGTTTGATTGACAGTTCCTGTTACTGATCAATCTCCAAGGTCCTATGTGTCGCAGTGTACTGTATCCATATGAAATAGAAAGGGAGCTTAGTTAAATCCAAGAATGCTCTCTGACCATCCCCAGGAGGTAAAGATTAGCTGTGTTTGTGCTATTGAAAAGGTAAGTAGCAGACTGTGGTGTAATATAAGAAAGACCAGTCTTTTTAAGCATTCACCATTTAAAAAAAAAAAAGTCACTGAACTTGCAAGCCTAAGTGAGACTATTCTTTCTACTTCATTTTTTTACTGAGAAATAACAGAGTATATCTTGTTTTTATTTTTTTATTATTTTTGGCTTGTGGGTTTTTCTACCCAGTTAGATCACTAAATAATTATCCTTTGTCTTATATCTTGCATCCTGCATAGACTATGGCCCAAAAGGAAGACATGGAAGAGAGAATTACAACTCTTGAGAAACGCTACCTCGCTGCACAACGTGAAGCTACATCTGTGCATGACCTCAATGATAAACTTGAAAATGAAATTGCCACTAAAGACTCCATGCATCGACAGGTTGTAATCTGAAATAAGATAAAGTACATTTTGCTTAGCATAAAACTAATGGAAATAATTAATGTTCAGGCTGTACTAACGCACTTTGCTTTTAGGAAGATAAATGTAATGCGCTATTGTTAGCGATTGTTTTTCAGTAACTGGAGGAGTGCATTGTAGAGTGTTTTACCCTGGAAGTGAAGATGAGACAATTTACTGGGGAGAGGAAATGGTTTTAAGCATTTTAGTGCACTTGATCAGGGTGCAGCAGGGCTGTTGTCCCTATTAATTTTGGCTTTTTAAGTTGTTATATATGGGTGTTCAAACATCTTTAGTTTAATGTGTGAGAATTACTCATTCTAAGCTAAGAGGGTTATAAAATTTGTGCAATGATTTTTATAGCCTATAGTAGAAGTAAATGTTGCCTTACTGCGGGAGGAAATTTGACATATGCTTGACATGAAGTGGTCCAACTTAAAACCAGAAATGGTTGTTAGCCAATCACTTTCTAACTAGAGGAAGCCAGGCAACTCTTAGTCAATAAGAGAAGTCCCTTTTAGTATAATTTTTAAAACAAGTTGCACACGCTTTAAATAAAAAGAAAAGTTGTGGTAATATGCATAGTGTTATTTAAAATATGAAGCAATTTTCTTCTTGATGTAACTCAGTCTTAGCACAGCCTTGACATTGAAAATTCAAAACGTGTTCTATGCTGCTTCCCATACTGTAATTATGTTTATTTGGTGATATACTTGCTTTCACAATACACAAAACTGTCTGCAGAACAAATTCACAGAGAAAAAAGTTCTCTGACGTAATGAAGGGGAGGATGCCACATCTTTGGTTATGAAACCAGTTTTGGACAGTTTGTTCTCCACAGATCTAGTAAAGGCAGTAAGCTGTATTCTTACCTTCCGCTTTGATGAAAATTAATTACCGCTTTAAACACTAAACGTTTGCTGATCATAATCCTGTGTAGAGTGAAGATAAGAATAGGCAATTGCAAGAACGACTGGAACTAGCTGAGCAAAAGCTGCAGCAGACTTTGAGAAAAGCTGAAACTTTGCCAGAGGTGGAAGCTGAGCTGGCACAGAGAGTTGCAGCACTTTCAAAGGTGAGTCAATTAGACAGTGTCCTCAAGACTCTTCTCTGTTGGTGTCCTGCTACAAGAAAACTGTTCTTAAAGTGTTGGGTTTGTTACACTGTGTTTCTATTTTTTCCTCCAACTAGTGCAGAAGATGTTTCTCCTTGTTTTCTGTGTTTTGTGTTCGTCTCTATGAACATATTCTAATTTACTCCTTTGCGTTTTGTGATCTTTTTTTAAATTGCTGCTCTTTGGAACTTGAGCAGGTTTTCTGTTAGCTCTGTTACATTATGAAAATGTCTCTCTAAATTATTATTTTGTTGCTTTTTATTAAAATGTGTACAATAAGAGGCATAAAGTCTTCTAAAACAGGAACAAATTTCTTCCACTGTTAACTGAGTTGAGGAGTGCAAGGAGAGAGAAAAGTAATGCTACTCATTAATATTAAGATTTCTAGGAGGCTGCAAATGGAATAATGAAGTCTGAAGAATTATATGTAGTAACTACAAATGAGCCTTTTCAAGTGTGTGTGTGTGTGTTCTTTTCAAGTCTCAGTTTCTTTTCTTTCCCTGTTATCTTTCCTGTCCCTAACTGGCTCTGTAGTCTGACCTTTTGTCTCCTGGGAACTCTGCTGCTAAAGATGCTAAAGTATTGGAACTTACCACCAAGCTTAGGAAGGTAGAATTTGTATATTAGTCCTTGTTTCTGCTTGCTGCTTTCTGCTTTGTCATGATTACTAACAAAGGGTCATATTGTCTAGACTAGTGAGGAAAAGCTGAAAATGCATTTAATTTTTATTTATTTTTTTATTCTTGGGGATTTGAATGAACTTCTGCTGTTGCAAGCTCATTTGCAAATAGTAGTTGATTCATGGTTCTTAGGGGTGAGAGGCTTCATCGTTTTGCTACTTACCATACGAACTCTTACTAGGTCCTTTTAGTGACAGAAAGGCATCTGTTCTGCATCGTATGTTACCATAAGTGGCAGTTGCGCAAAGCATGTTAGATACATTGTGCTTCAGTGTTTCTATGCTTCTGAAACCTTTTTTGAAAAAACAAATTCTAATTTTGTTTTCAAATTGACAGGCTGAGGAGAGACATGGCAATATAGAGGAACGACTGAGACAGATGGAAGCACAGCTAGAAGAAAAGAATCAAGAACTGCAAAGGGTACTGTACCTATCTTTGGCAAAGATACAAAGCTGAAAGAATGAATGTAATCCCCTTCATGGCTGCCTACCGTTCAGCAAAGCTGTTTTTATTTCTCATCTCTGAAATAAAACCAGAGTTTAGGCTGTCTGATTGTTGTGAGATTTGAGCCACTGTACTATGGCTAACCTTAAATCTCAAGAAAAAACTGGAAGTCTCCAATCAGTTTCAAATATGTGTGGAAATACCCAATTGCTGGTCATGCTTTCTGATGAGGAGACAGATCAAAAACTTGCTGAATTAAATGTCTATAGAAAAATTGGTTCCTGGGTTATAAATAATGAAACTGATTCTGATACCTGCTTTTCCTTGAAGTGTAAGCTCAGATTTTCAAGCTTCTGATCTTGGAGCAGTTGTTGAAGTCTTAAGTGTCCCTTACACTCCCTTACGGAGTCATGGGGATACATGCAGTATTCCTTATTCCTTTGGAAAAATATTTCTACTAAAGAAAATGCAATTGGGTTAGGGAAAGCTTACTGTTTTCACAACCGGGAAATTGTTAAAGAAATTGTAAATTTTAAGTTGTTTCAGTAGCTTTTATGTATCTTAGGCTAGACAGAGAGAGAAGATGAATGAAGAGCATAATAAACGTTTGTCAGAAACTGTTGATAAGCTTCTGTCTGAATCTAATGAAAGGCTTCAGCTTCATCTCAAGGAACGAATGGCTGCCTTGGAAGATAAGGTAACAAGTCTGACATTCCAGCATATACATTAATGAGATGTTCAACATTCTGTACTGATTTGTGTACTTTGCAATGTGTTTGTAATGTCAGTAAATAAATACTAAATTCTTATTAATAAGTAGTTTCTGTTAAGGCTGTTTTCTAGTGTGGATTTTTGAAAGTAAGTTCTCAAAATTAATTTTTTTGTTTTTGAGATTGCACCTGGTCATTGTACTACAGTGTTGAGAAGGCATCTTTTAAGAAGCTTTAACCTTTCTTAGTTGACTGGTGTGGACTGCATAAATAAGCTCATCCAGTGTAATACAGGAAGTCTGAGGAATTAGGACTAGAACTTTGCCCTTTTCAATTCAGTTTCTTTTATTTCCCATTGTCGTCTTCTGTACCAGTTACCCTGAGTCATTGTGGGATTCTTGCAATTTGAAACAATCTTGCATTTTATTCCCAGGTGGATAATTTTGATAGATAGATAATTATGAATGTAAATGGAGTGTTCCCTGGGCTGTCAGTGCACGTTACTGAGCTTTCTCCTGTATTCAATTTGTCTTTTAACTTGTGACATACTTTTACTTTTTCTTTCCCTTCTGCTTTTGGATCTAGGTCCTTATGGGTTTTTCCTCCATGCATGTCTTTAAGGATTCCCTTATTCTTCATCCAACAAAGCACTGTCTTCTAAAGTATCACTTTGATGCTGACTGAATTGCTTTGTCTTGGATTAAAAAAATACTTAACTTTCTTTTACTGGAGGGTGAAATGACCATCTGGGGAAATGTTTCAATAAAAGCTGAGTGGCTTTTGTTTTAAAGTCACGGAAATAAAATGCTTCAGTTGCAATACATAATGATGCGTTCAGACTTTAATAAATGTTTACTTTCCTCCTGCATTCATGTCAACTCAGTTCTCATCCCTGAACCATCAGTCAAGTATCTAATGTGTCTTTCCAGAATTCCAAGACTGTACTCCCCTCAGATCATTGCAAAGATTTAGTTTGTTCTTTTTCCTGCTTTTGCACTCTTGGAGCTGGGAGGAGTCGGGTAGTGCAGAACAAATGTAGGTCCTACTGATTCTTGTCCTTTAAGTTAATGATAAAAGTATTTATCATGTGGAATCTAAGGCTGCAAACTTTATCTTTTGGGTTTTAGTTAACATAGCTATTTTCAAGATCACCAACTGCTCCTAATACTTCAGAAATTCTTGTTATGGGCCTTGTCATGACATCAACAAGGTTGCTCTAACAGTCTTTATGAGTTTAATTTCTGAAAAACAGATGACTGCATTTTTTTTTTTAAAGGCTTCAATACTGGGGGGCTGTCTTAGGGTTAACCCTAACTCCCCTTTACTCTCCAAACCCTAACTATGTTCCTGAATAATGAGGAAAATCTAGTTGTCCTTCACTGTAAGTAACATTTTCTAGAAAAGTATTCTTACTGTGGTTTCCAGCTTATTCTGTTATGTTAAGTTGGGAAGAAACATGGAGGTAGATTTTTAAGACTTTCTTCTGATCGCTTGGGCTTTTTTCCCAGAACGATTTGTTCACATATGAAACGTTATTACATGTTTAAGATGCAAACAATGGTACTACTTACTTCAAGGAAATGTGTTTAGCAGAACTTTTTGGCAATGGTGGAGAAGTGAGAGTGTGACGCAGTTCCAAGTTTCCTATTAGATGGGGGAATCTCTGATTATTTTTTTCTTGGTATCTACAGTATCACATAGTACAGTCAAATACAGTAGTTGAAATTCTCTGATTGTTGTAGCTCTCAAATGTTTCTTAATTCTCAGATAATTCTTAGTCTGAATTTGGAAACTGCTTTGAGTAAAGAGATTGTAGCAGTTACGTATTTATATTTACTGGAGTTGTTTAGAAGTCATGGTGTAACTGTAAACCATGTTATATTTACATAACATTTAAGATGACAGCTCTGATGTTAATGAAGGCTCATAAGGCAGTGAGCGTTGCAGTTCTGGAGGTACAGTACATGCAAGAAATTACTATATAGTAATTTTGTAGGTCAGGCAAGCAAAAATAAAATGAAAACCTAATGCTAACAGCCAGTAATGCCTTAGTAACCACTCAGTGAATTACTTTGAATTATTTTAGCTGCCTAATTTTCCTTTTTTTACCAATTTTGTCGAATGGAGCTTTAAAGGGCTGATATTGGTATTAAATTTCTATGAAACTCATACTATTACTCAATCTGTTATTTAGAGGACTGTACACCTGAAAGGATAAACCTTTGACTATAATCAAAATGAAATGATGTAAGCAACAAAGTGACTGTAAGTGAAGATGGGTCTGTATAGTGTTGACTGAAACTTTTTGATAAGTAACTTAATTTGTGATACATTTTATTTTAGAATTCACTTCTTCGAGAAATTGAAAATGCAAAAAAACAAATAGAGGAACTTCAGCATGAAAAGGTATAATACACATTTTTAAAATATGATATTGGAAAATAATTGCTGCGTTGCTACATAGCAGGACCAGATTTGAATTCCCTCATAAAATTTAACATTACCTGGTCTGTTTAAAAGTAGGGAGCTGTTATTGCTCATTTTATGATATTGTGTAGCTCAGTTTTATGACAATTTTATAGGTCATACATAGCTCTTTACTCAGAGTTACACTTCTGAATATGTAAAGTAGCTGAATGTATTGGCAATTTGGCAAAGTTTGAAGATTGCATAGATTTTTATACTGTTGCACGTATGACCTTGAACAGTAAAAAGAAAAGAGAAATACCTTTAATGTTGGGTGTTTTCCTGTAAGTTTTTTCTTAAAGCATTTTGTATCATGAAATGCTTGTTCAACTAATAAAATTTTTTTAAAGTTTTAAGAATTGGGTGGCAGGGAGAGAAATATTTATTAGACTTGGCTGTTCCTTTGCAGTAGCAGCTGTCTGGTGTTTTGTCAGTTCCACGACAAGCAAGTTCCCTTCTTGAATAATAGTGGTGGGCGCTTTCATTTCTTTGCATCCTTAAGCAGTGGCAGTTGATTTTGTGGTCATGCTATCTATTCTGAAATAATATTTGTTATTGCTTATTAAATCACAGGTGTACTGCATCTCCCCAAATCATTCTAGTAAGTAGCTAGGCTAGACTTTTTCAGAGGCTGTGCTTCTGTAATAAAATGAAGAACGCATTCTGAATATTTTGCAGAATGTGCTTTGAATTTTTGTATGTGTAGGCCAGCAGTTTTCACACAAGGCACAGATGTTCATCATCAACCGCTTTTTACTAGTCTTTCATTGTTTTCTCATTCATTGGATTTCTCTGTTGTTAAATTCTGAGTTTCTAGAGCATGTAAAGGTGTCCAAGTTAAAAGTGAATGCATTTAGAATCTTTTGTGCACAGAACTTGAAAAATCTTCTTGTTTCTTATTAAATATTATCATAGTAAAGTTAGTAATATGTGAACTTTATTTAGTGGCTGTTTTTAAAATATACATTATCATTAGCTAGAGCCACAGTGTGGAGAGGCAACAGAATTATTCCTGGATGCCCTTTTGTGATGGGGCTGTATTGTGTGTAGCAAAAATCATTTTTGTTTTACGTTGTTGAAGGGTATGTTTTAAAATCTGTTACTTGAGTTTTGTAGAAATGAGATAAAAAAATAAATGTTAGTTTATAAATCAGTATTTGACACTGTTTTTTTAAGCATATTGTTATGTATTTTATCCATTTATTTTTACAGGATCAACTTGTATTAAATGTTGAAGCATTAAGGGCTGAAAATGACCAAGTGAGACTCAGAGCCACATCACTTCATCATAGGTACCAGCAGTTAATTGTAGTTCAGTTTTTCCTAGTTTCTTTAAAGTCAGTTTGCTAAATGTAATTTTGTCTATTGGAACTGAAAATACTTTAGTCATAGCTATAAAATGTATTCTTTATAGAGCAGTTTTTATACTGTTTAAAAAAATTGGCACTGGTGGGACAGTAGGAATCATTTGGATGGGTTTTTTGGTTTATTTCCCCCTTCCCCCTACCTTTGTAAGACAAAATGTTTATTTGTGTTCTATCAGACCAGATTTCAGATACCCTATGACATCTTCAACTGTTGCTGACAGTCATACAGACTCCTATGGCACCTCATCAGTGTTAAGGCGTCCCCAGAAAGGACGTTTGGCAGCTCTCAGAGATGAACCTTCAAAGGTATGAACACTTCAAACTCTGAAATTAAAACAAAGATAAAACTTTCGCAACAAAATAGATTAGATCAGTCTATCACAAGGAGTTTTTACAATAGGAGTACATAGCAATAAAGTGCTACATATATGTCGTGTTTTACTAAGTAATGCATGGCTACTAGTCCTTTTAAATGTTAACAAGTAATTGCAAAATTATTATTTTGAAGTCCAATTTGTATAAAGTACGACAAGCCTGTAAAATATCATTTGAAACCGTCCTACTTCTGTGTCTATGCACTAATCTAGCATGTTACTGTTCTGCAAGCAATTTTAGGTCCCTTTCAGGACGCATAAGTTCTTATTATGTAAAGCTGATTTCAAAAGTCTCATTGGATTTGATAGCAAAATTCTACTGTAATTAGTAGATATGTGATGTTTTAATTTATTCAATGGGGCTGTCCCTTTTTAACTTTCACTTAACTGTAAGATGCAAAGTTTTCTACTTTACAGTTTTTTTTTTTATATTTCTCTAAACATTGCTGTCTTGATGGATGCATTCAGCATGTAAGTGGGCTATTTAAAAATGATTTTAAACATCTTGAAAAACAGTAGCAATGTCATGTTATTCCCATTTGAGTTTGGATTTTTTAAATTTTTTATTAATTCTCTTAGGTTCAAACTCTAAACGAGCAGGACTGGGAGCGAGCCCAGCAAGCAAGTGTATTGGCAAATGTGGCACAAGCATTTGAAAGTGATGTTGATGTGTCTGATATTGAGGATGATAGGGAGACTATATTCAGTTCAGTTGATCTGCTATCACCAAGTGGTCAGGCTGATGCTCAGACTTTGGCCTTGATGCTTCAAGAACAGTTGGATGCAATCAACAAAGAGATTAGGTATGCTTCTTTCTAATGCCTGTGTCAGCTGTTGTGTTTATATGGTACTTGTTTGAATATCATGTTCCTTTGAAACTTCTTTTCTTTTAGACTTATACAAGAAGAAAAGGAAAACACAGAGCAGCGTGCAGAGGAGATTGAAAGCAGAGTGGGTAGTGGAAATTTGGATGCCCATGGCCGATTCCGGTCCATGAGCTCCATTCCTCCTCCCTATGCAAGTGGTTCACTTGCGGGTTCTTCCCCGCCTGGCAGTGGCCGCTCCACCCCAAGGCGGATTCCACACAGTCCAGCTCGGGAAGTGGACAGACTAGGTATCATGACACTGGTAAGTACCCATTACCTTTAATTTTCGGAAGAGTGTTCCTTTTCTCTAGGAAATGGGTTGTTTGATTTCCCCTTTCTCTCCTTCTTACTCAGCTGTATTTTTCCTTTCTCTAGGTTTTCCTACTGCTTCCTTTCAACTTCTGTAAAAAGTGTAAGATACAGTCATAATGATTAGGAAAAACGTTCAGAACTCAAGTCTATTATTTGGTCAACATCTCATGCCTAAGTATTCCATCTGTTGTTATGGTCTTTCTTCTGACTCCTCTTCCTAGAAGAAATAATGTGTTCTTTTCAACCCCTGGTACAGCAACCAGTTTCTCCCTCTGCTTTAAATCTTATTTTTAGCAGTCCGCTATTTCACTAAATACGCAGCTAAAAAGTAATTTGCATATATTGTATTAATCTTGAAAATTGTGGAGGTATCACAGCTGTTTTAATGAGTGCTAGTGTCTTGTTTTCGCCTGTTAAGACCGGCAGGTAAAAGAACTATCTGTTAGACCTAGTAGCTGATGTCGTAGTAGCTTGGGCTTAGCAGTTCAGTGAGTAGAGAAAGATGGATCCAGTCAAAAGAATGACATTCATGTGACTGCTTAGAAAAATTAATCCTTCTAGGTCCTGCTTTATTCATGTAAATCTATCTGTAAAAACAAGATATAATTTTTCCACTTCTTTGTTTTTACATGAATGTTAAGCAAAGCTAACAGTTTCTCATATTTAGAATACCTTTCACTAAGGAGCATCTTGGTACAGGTATTTATTTGCAAGCACTTGCCAGGAAAAGCTCCTTCTCTAACTTAGCTGTAGGTACATTACTTTGCCTCCAGATTTGCATATGCATTTAGAAACTGTACTTACCAGTACATGCAACACCCATACTTACTGTACTTTATTGTCTTGGATTACTGCACTTGTATCGTGCCTATATTATACAATCAGTAGGCAAGGAATGCTATCCATCACTGTAAGTTCAGGTGGACTGTAAATGACTGACTTGACTCATTTGGGTGTCTTACTTATTTTTAAACACTCCTATATTTCAGCTAACAACTTTTGCTGGCTTTTTAAAATGAATGTGTACATATACCAAAAAGTCAATTTCTTTAATAAAAAGGAATAATTTTGCCTCTCTTGCATTTAAAAAAAAAATAGTCATTGTACTAGCTGTAGCCATATATCCAGGGTCAAGCACACTTCTCTTACTGAAACTAACATACTCAAAATGTGAAGTGCTTTGTATTCTAATTTTTCACAGTAATAAGTAGTGAAGCTAAGTACTTCTCTTACAGAAAACCATATACAAATTTAAGTAGCTATTTTCATGAAAACAAGATCAAAAGAATGTGTGTCTTATGTTAAATTGTTAACATAACTGAACAGAAGTAAAATAATTAAGTTCACTTTAGATTGTAAGAATTCTCACTCAAAGGCACTTGATCCATTGTTTGCAGTTGCAAACAGTTTGTCTGATGTTCTAGTACCTGGCAACTGATTTGTGAAAGCTTTTGTGAAAGCATGAAAACAAGATGTTAGGCTGCTGGAATTATACAACAAGAGCTTTCTAGAAACTTCTGGAATGGCTTTTACAAATTATCAGACCGAATGAGTTCTTGTGGGTTTTTTTCGATACTTCAATAGAAAGCTGCATTAGTTTTTGAGCATGATGGCAACGTTAGCTTAACGCTAACAATAGTAGTGGTCTTAGGCAGTTCAGTTAGCTGAAAACCCCTCATGATTAAACTTAATTATAAGTCATCAACATGATAAATTGTGAAACCTGCAGCTCTCTTGAACAGTTCTTGTGGACAGTTTTCATTCCATATGAATGAATTTCCATATGAATGAATATCCATATTCCATATTTCATTTTTATGGGTTATCAGATTTCATAGATGAAAGATCCAGTGAGGATAAAATGAGTCTGCTGTGCTTTGTCGAAGAACTTTAGTAGGGACTAGATGATCTTTAAAGGTGTCTTCCAACCCAAACCCTTCTATGATTCTATTAACTTATAACTTATTAACATAGTACTCTACAGTCAGATTGAACAGAACTTTACATATTTATGCTGCGTAGTTTGCATGTATTCTAAATAAAAAATGACTAAAAGTTGTCATTTGTGGGAGGGAAACAACACAGAACTCCCCCACCAAACTTCAGAGGGGACTGACTTTATTTTTGGTTACAGTTTTTTGACATAATTGTTGCCAAATACAATGATAATTATTAAACCAATTATCTCAATTAAACTTTTGTCAGCATCAGTTTGAATAACTCGATAACTTGTTTATGTAACTGGGGGTTGCTGCCTTCCTCTGTGCACTGGCAGAGGTGGGAAGTACCTAGGAAGTGAGGTACAGTGGCTTCTGGAGTGGATGGAGGATAAAATAAACCAGTGGTAGACTCTTGCTCAAACATTCCAGTACTTTAAACTTAGTAAAAGGAACAGAATACTGTTGCAGTATAGAAATCGGCTAGTGTTGGCACTCTCTTTCACGGTTATTAAAATAGGGCCTTTTATGCTATGTAGGAAACAACTGAGGAAATCGCTAAGGTGTGAGATGGGTCTAGTGCAGACAATGTATCAAGCCTGCTATGGCTACCACATAGGTTATAGCATTCAAGGCAAGTCCTTGACGTATGACTGGAAATCCTCTGGCTTTTTAAAAGCAATACTTTATGCCCCCCGGTACTTCGCTATTTTTCTTGCTGAAGATAATGCACGTTTTCTGTGCTCATTTGCCTGTAGTACCAATACATTGGAATATCTATGGTACTTTATAGATAACCAACTATAAGTCTTGATTATTTTTTTCTTCCTTTTCCCCTCTTCAGGGATACATTTAAGTAATCTGTGATTTGAAAGAGTACTTCATACTGTATCTTTCTCTGTGCCATTGCTGTAATTGTTATTTATATTCTCCCTAATATGTTTTGTCTGTAGTAGTTGTTTCAGTCTGTGCTACAGTTTACAATAAATATGGCTTCTCCAAATTTCTTTTCTTTGCATGCATCTATCAGCCTAGTGATTTAAGGAAACACCGTAGAAAGGTAAAGATCTTTAGTTTATTTACTGGTGTGCCCCTTCATCTCCTTCCCTGTCCCCAAACTCATGAATGGATAATAGGAACATAAAAGAAAGTATTTGCAGGGTAACCCTATAATAAAGCAAGATTATATGCTCTTTGATATTAAATGTAAAATGTTTCATCATCTTAACATAAGTGTGGGTTTGTTTTATGGGGGTTTTTTTGTTTGTTTGCCTTTTTTTTTTTTGCTGGTGTGGGGGACTGTTTTATTGCTTTCTGTTTGTAACCACTATTCTGCAGCCTTCATGAAACAATATTTAATTTTAAAGACCTCTTAGTGCACACACAAATAAGTCTTAATTTCTGACTTATTACTGACTTCATAGAATTGGTAATCTTGCTAATGATTGTCTAAACACATAACAGTAAGAATTGAGATGCCTTTGTTTCACAGGACTCTTTGCTGTCTTTGGACTTGCTTAAACTGAAGTCAAGTCTATTTAGTTTTATGGTGCTGAAGACGTTATTTTAGTTCTTAGCTGTATGTATAAATAAAAGATGAGTGCTACTTGCTCATTTCACCAGCTAAGACTGAATTTTAGTAGTTTGTCACTAAAGGTAACAGAAAGTCCAGAAAGAAGTCACACAAAAAATAGGCAACTGCAGAAGGGTAAGGGCAAGAGTAATCCGTTATCACTGAAATAACCAATTTTTTCCTTTCAGTATTTTGTGTAGCGTTGATATTGCATTCATGTTTTGGCATTTCCAACTAACCCTCAAGTTTTCATTCATTTTCCATTAGTCTCCAGCTTCTAGAGAAGAGGTACGAGATGATAAAACCACAATAAAATGTGAGACATCACCCCCTTCTTCACCTCGATCTTTGCGTTTGGACAGAGTCCAAAAAGGAGCTTTGCATACAGTGAGCCATGAAGATATCAGGGACATTAGAAAGTAAGTAGCTGTGAATAAGTCAGACCTGCCAGTAACTTAGTATTTTGGATCATCAGAATAAAATCCTAAAAGTGCAAAGCTGTTCAGCTTATAGGATTTTAGTCTAGATATTGAAGTGTTTCTCAAAAGTACAGAGTATGAACACATAAACGGGTGACTATGTTACATAAACAATAGGAATACAGATTTTGTTAATGATCAGAAATGGCTTCATGTAAAGAATTCTTTTGGTACGCAAGGTCTGCATTAAGTTTGCTCTTCATGTTTAGGAAATAAAAGATGTACAATTCCAGTCCTTCAAGGTTGGAATTTGGATATAAATTTAGAAATATGTTGCAACATTACCATCATTTTGATTGACAGGTGTTCTTTTCAAAGTGCCTAAGTATCTGGGATGGATTCCACTCAAGTATTTCAAACTTCTGTTGTCTGCCTCAATTTGTCAGGAACTCGTGTTGTCAACTTTGACCTCTCTGTATTGCACTTTAATTTCTTAGAGTAAGAATTGACTTGTAATTCCATGCTATAGTATATAAATACTGTAGTCCTTCCTTTCTTGCATGATTTAGTGGTTTGCACTGGTTTTTCTATTTAATGACATGTATTTTTATAAATATATTGTCATGATTCATTAAAAGGTGTAATTAGATGTTATTAGTGAGTTACTGAACTTTTGTTAACTTGCATAGAAACATGAACTTGTGTCTCACTTATGCTAGTAAATTTTTTATATCTGTGCTCCTTTGACTATTTTTCTTTTTTTTTTTTGTAAAGTTCAACAGGCTCGCAAGATGGGCAAACAAGTAATCCTAGTAGCAGCAATAGTAGCCAAGATTCGCTTCATAAAGCCCCCAAAAAGAAGGGGATCAAATCCTCTATTGGCCGCTTGTTTGGCAAGAAAGAAAAGGGACGACCTGGACAAACAGGCAAGGAAACATTAGGACAAGGTTGGTTTGCTTTTTTTTTTTTTTGCACAATAAGAGAGAGAGTGAAAGACTGAATTTTATGATGTATGTATCAGTATGTGCATATTTATGACTGATTATTTTGATGCTCATATACAGCATTTTTGGAACTAGTGATACTGAATTTTCTGGTAGGTCCTTTTATGAGTGTTGGATGCGAGTTCAGATAGTCAGGTATTGCTGTCTTTTAGTCTCATGTGCCCATGTTATTGAACCTTATTGAACTATTATGGCTTGTTTTGTGAAGCAAAAATTTCAACTGTATCTTGGAAGTGAAAGAGGCTTTTGTTAGTATTTACACCAACAGTCATGTCTTCACTTTGGACTCAAAGGAACTCCCTTGAAAAGAAGCCAGCTGGCTTAGTAACTGCTACAGTTAACCTTTGTCTCTTGCGTAATTCTTTGCATAAAGCATTACCCTTGATGTTGACACCAACCATAAGTGATATGGGAACACTGCAAATCCATCTTACAGGTGGTTGAATCATGAGGTTCTCTATGTGACTCCAGATGGTTTTAGACCACACCTATTTGAGTCCATGCCAAGCTAGTTTTCCTATTTTGATGGGTATGTATTCAACCAGAAAATGGAGTGACAGATGGGCTTGAAGGTTTGGCTTTGTACATTTCTGATCAGTAATATTACAAAGGATTAAATATTTTTGTTCAGGAAAGCAGTAGTGATTTTTGAATGATAACTGGACAAAATTGAGAAGATAACAAGACTGGGTTTTGTTTTCTTTCTCGTAGGTGGCATGGGAGAAGCAGATAGTTCCTCTCAGGATGCATTAGGTCTCAGCAAGCTTGGAGGTCAGGCGGAAAAAAACCGGAAAATGCAGAAAAAGTAAGTTACTGAATATTTTTAATCTTCTGTTGTTAATGTATTCCTTTGTTTAAAAATGTTTTGTTTCCCTTTTTTTGTTTTGTTTTCAGGTATTTTTGCCTACCAGAGTGCTATGGCTAATAAGCCTCTGTAGAATTTTTTTACTTTTTTTTTTCCCCAGAACATTAATAGTAGCGTAGGTCATGGTACTTTGAAACAAATTTCAGTGCAGAAAGCTTATTGTTGGAATGCTACAATACACAAACTTGGACATAAAAGTGGACTGTTATCAAAACTTCCCCCAAAATTTGTTATATTTAATACCTGCTTTGTGTTTAATTCATTTGGAAGATTTCCCAAAGGTGTCTTTGGCTTTTACTTGCTCCAAGTGTAAAAGAGTTAACAGAGTGAAAGCGTGAGATGTTCTCTACAGACATAATTCTGTATGCTTTTGCTGGTTCCTTTCTAGCAGGTGACTCAAAGTCTTTTCTTTTGTGTTGCAGTTGCTAACTGCTGCTGTGTTCACGATTTTTTTTTTTTACTTCTGTTTAAGCTTGTCTTGACATTTTCTCTTATTTCAACATCTGTCATTTTTTTCCTTACGCCATATACCCCTGATTTCCTGTTTTTTTTTATAAATTGTGACTATTTCCTTTTTTTGGCACCTTCTAGATACAGGTACACCTTCTAGGTACCTTTTCCTAGTTATGAGAAATTTTTTGGTGTGTATCCAAGAAAATCTTTAATGTTCACCTTTTGAGTATCTATTAGCATGCTTTGTTGTTCCTAGACTTAGAATTCTGAGATGAAGCAAGACTATAATCATAGGTGAAAAATAGGTGTTGCTGTTAGTTGAAATCTTGACTTGATGCTTAGATGGTAATATGGGAAACACTCAAATATATACAAGTAGGATCAGGCATTCTTTGCATTTTTCCACCCAAAGCTGAGCCATATACCTCACACTTCTGTTGCTTCTGTTCTGTTCAGCTGTTTTTACTCTGTGTCAAAAAAGTTGACCAAGATCAGACATGTCTTGCCTTTTTTTACTTGCCTTCTGAAGACAGAATAATCAATGTTGGAAACAAAGTGTGCTAATTTTCTCTTTGCAAGAGAGATTCCTTGCAGTACCTAAGTTCTATTAAGAAGTAAGTATAATGCCTGGTGACTGCTAATGAAAACCAGCAGTGTGTTGGTTTGAAAAGTCAGAATGGAATGTGGTTTTGTTTGTATAACAGAATGCTCAGCTGTTTTTCTTCAGACTGTTACAGTGAAGGCTATCGTACATTATTATGATCTGGTATTTTCCCTCTTCTACAGAGCTTTAAAGTCATACCACATCTTGGTTGTATAAATAGTTATAGTCTGGTCATATCTAAATAGTGGTAGGTCTGTTCTTTGAACAATATAGATCGTTTCAAATACCAGCAACAAATTTCATTCTGGAGTAAAAGAATCTATACTGTCTTGCTTCAATAAATGCAAAAAATGCAGCTGCAGATAAATCATGACTTTTCTTTGTAAACATTCTGCCTTTCAAAAATTCACTGGTCATACTTAAAATATACTTTGTGGCTGCATGTTGTTGGTGCAGTGTGAGTGTCTGTTAGACAAATGAAAACTTTTAGCTTGAAATTGCCTTGCCTAGCTATTAGCTTACCGTGAGTAAGCACATATTTATCTGTGATTCAGATATTTCAGTGAAAGCGGGTATGAAACAAGACTGTGTTGATGAAGATATGTAGCATAATGTTTAAATTTATTACTCTTCTTACTGCTGAGAGCAGCAGCAGGGCCCTTGGAACTTCCATGAGAAGCAAATCTTACCATTTTAAAAATCTCAGCAAGATGCTTTAATCCAGCTGTTTCAGAATCCTGGCAGGTATTCTTAACATAGGATGCAATATTATCACAAAATGTTAGAAATCTCTTGCTGCCTTCTTGAGGTGCTCGTTTTCAAAAAGAAAAAGTGGTAAAGCTGCTCTGAATTGCTTTTCACTTTGATATTGGAGGAGGGTGGGGTTAAAACAAATTCTCGAGGCTGACTGTTCACTTATAAAATCCTGTATTCAGTGAAAAGAATTCCAGTTACCTGAATGCTTGGAACAATGACAGCTATGTCTATTTATAGTTGTCTCTAATCCCTATTTGCTTGCTTATCTTTCTGATTTCTGCATGCATGCACACAAACAGGCTGAGGGCAGTATTCAATATCTTTACTAACAAAAACCTATTTAAAGTTACAGAATTAAATTACAGTATATGTTATTTGTCTGTTTTTGTATGCCTTTGAGTTCAGTTTAATCCTAGTTTTGTATTTTTCCTTCATTGTTTTATTTTCCTTTTGTTTACCATTTGATGTGGTAGTGCAAAATCAGGGTAAGTTTATATTTATTTTATTAGGATGGTTGTGAAATTATGATAAATCTCATTTGGATTTTTTAGAAATATATTAAAAGCTCCAACTTTTTTGAAAGAAGTCTAATTATGAGAGAAGATACTAGATTCAGAAAAATTTATTGTGGAAATAATTGTGTTGCTGAAATAAATTCAGTGTTGTCTAGTTCAAAGTGTTGTCTTAAGTGCATGGTGTGAATTTTTATAATAGAAATATTAAACCCTACTTAGTTGAAATTAGTTTTGTAATTTGGGTTTTGGAAGTTGCTTAGCAATAGTAGATATTTGTGGCAATTCATTTCCAAGGTAGATGTATTCCTGTAAAACTGTCACTCTTCGTTTACTAAATTAAGTTGGTTTTAGTGTTTTGTTCATGATGTTCACTTTCTCTGTGAGCTCTGCTATTGACAGTGTTTGCCCCAACTGTTATTTGTGCTTTTCTGTGTACAATGTGACAAACTTAATACTGTATTAATTAAAAAGGAAGGCAACCCTAAATTTGAGAACTTTTTGCATATAACTTTCTTTAAGGACAGTTTATTACATACCTAAAATCAATATATAATAAGGATATTAATTTTCCGTGATGCTCTGCCCAAAATTAGTCTATTTTCATCTCATGTTTCACTGCTGTTGCCTTTCTGTTTTTACACCTTGCAGCTCTGTCTTTTTTATCAGTGTCACGCTCTTCACCACCTTCCCTACAGTGTTTTCTCTACTCTCAACTTCCAAATTGGTTATCTTCAATTCCATCCAAGAAATCTGGAATACAGCAATCCCCTTTGGCTACAAGTTCTGGATTTATCCATTCCCATGCTGTCTTAATCCAGTGACAAAGTGATGTTGCTCTGGGCTGCTTTATTTTCCTGGAGGGGTTAGTGTATGCTTGTCTGCCAAGAGCTGTTCTAAATACAAATACTTCAAATGGTCTTTAAAGGGCCTTGTGTGTTCACTACTACATCAAGCACCTGCAGTTTTGACGTCATTTCTCATCCCATATGACCACAATTTCTTTGTTCTCAACATCTGGTGTTAGATGCCTTTTGGATTTGTCTTAACAAGTGTTCCCCTCTTGCAGCAGCACATTTGGTCTCCTGCTCCTAGTTGTGTTCAGCCAACTCTTTATTAGAGTCTGTAGACATCTATCCCTTGGTTTTGTCACCTAAGAATTATTCCAGTAGCCAGCTACTCCTCTGACATTGTTTTGTCCTTTGCAGTGCCAGCTTTGTACCATCTGTTAACACTGCCAACACTACTGCAATATTTTATTTTTTCCTCACAAAGATGTGAGGCTGGATTTTGCACCCACTTCCTAAATGGTATAATTGCATGGCCTGTGAAACTAAACTGGTGTGTCGGTTGTGATCTTTACGTAATCTGATTGCATATTGCTGGAATACAGTGAGTTTCTTGGTGAAGTTGGAAGGGAATTGTTGGAAAAGTGAAGTTCCCTGCTATAGGAAAAAAACTGTTAATGCATCACTTGCAGATAAAACAGCAGTTGCCTTTGAACTCTTCCCATGAGATGTTTTGTGCTTGTGCTACGTCTTGAGCTTTCAGTTTAATGATTTCCCATGCAAGCAAATTTCTATCTCTTCTTGCATGTGAACAAATCTCACAATTATTTTTCTACTTTGTGGATGCATTCCTCTTCGGGCCCATTGAAAAACCTCCTCATAAAGTTATCTCATAAAATTTTTGTTTGTTTCTATTTCTACATGTTTTCCTCCATCATGTAACACTTCCTTCCAGCCACACAATTGTTTTCTGCATACCATACCACCATGAGTTTAAAGTTTGCATCATAACCTCTCCTTACACTTCTGATACATTCCCTGTACTGCTCATCTGCAAATTTTCTGTTTCATGGTTAACTTGAAGTATGCAGAGACTTACAAAACTAGCTGAAATTACACTACAATTCTCTGAATTGCGTACAAATACCCCAAGCAGCATTGTAAGTTGGAGGGAGGCAGTGATCACATGCTCTCGTGGGTCATCCTAGTCAAACTGGAGGCTGCTTTGGGCATGTCTCTCTTCTTTCATCACTAGTTGGCTTCCCTCACTGCACAGTCATGTTCTCACAACCACTGAAAATGTAGACACCAGTTTTGAAGTGGAAAAACTGTATTCCTTTCTGGCAAATACAGTATTAAGCATTTTATTCTGTTCTTACCAAACAGTATTTTATAATATCGTACTAACTTATTTTTCTCATTTTTTAATCATTAAACACCAAAGTGAAGCAAAACTGAATGTGTACAGGGCTACTGATTTGTGGGATGAATGTAATTTGTTCTACGGTAGCAGGAGAACAGCTGATCCTTTATTCCTGATTCAGAAATATATGCATCTTTTTAAAGGGTACCAATATGTATTAACTTTCGTGATCTTGTCTTTGTTAGTGAAACCTAGCTATTTTGGTGCTAACTGCTGAACTCTGTTTCCACCTTAATTGTTGGGTCTTAAAATGGGTACATTAGAATGGTTCTTCTTAACCAGTTATCTGGCAGATCTTTCCTTGGTCCCCTTTTTTTTCATTCCTAGACAGTACTTTTAGTTAGGATAAAGTGTTGGGAGGTTCTTCTACAGTAATAGGAATTTATTGACATGCAGGTGGAGAAGTAGTATCTGTTGATAAAACAGTTGCTAGTATATTTATTGCTTCATTGATTATTTTTTGTATTTAGTTACCTACCAATATAATATGAGGCTTCTAGGTGTGCTGGCATGTCTAAAAGAGCTGAATACTGCCTATCTGTTTTACATTAGTAGCAAAAAAAGCTACTAGTCTGTCAGTAACCCCTTTTCAAGATGTCTTGTGCAGTAGTTTTTTAATATCTGTAGCTTTTGAATATTTTATCTTCAGTGTATTCAGTGATACAGTTCTGAAGGTGAGGAGATTTTGTTTGTTTTAAATTGTGAGAAGAGCATAAACATATAATGTAGGATGATGAATCTGTAGTATTGCTGTTTATCTTAATTCTACGCTTGCAGACAGGAATAAAAAGCATAAAACAATAAAAACTGTTCAATTAAGTTAAATTGTTTTTTCTAAATTTCAGAGAGGAGTGAGCAGAGACTTAACCATATAAAACTAGCTTTCAAAGGCAGCTTAAGTATGCTTTTTTTCAGACATTATCTGTTTTTTCAGACAAAAGTATCCCAGCAACATTGCATGCTTATACCCGCAACACTAGTTTTTGTCTCTTTGGTTTATCAAATGTTTTTGGCAGCTATTATAGGGATCTTGTGAGCTTCCATTGTTTCTGCAAGCTGAATTGTCAATATTAAACTTCAGTCTCTTCTATTTCAGAATAACAAAGGAAATGGTGTCATCACAGGAGATGAAAGCTGAGTTTTAGTACACAGCCTTTCAAAATATAATTGCCAAAGCGTGGTGCTCTGAACATAATGGCTGTCTGAAGCTGTGCTTGCAGTTCTAATAGGCTTGCTCTTATAGACTGAAATTCGCCAATTAAATGGTTACTATCCCAGTTTCCAGCCTTGACAGCCTGAAGGACAGTACCGTTTTGATGGCATGACTATCTGATGTACTCATACATTTCCACAGGTTTCAGATCTGCATGTTGAGGAAAAATGACTACTTTGGTTCAGTCTAATTTGCTGAACACAAAATTGCAGCAATTGAGAATCCTACTGACACATAAGTCTGACACCTCTACTTCGTGTTGGCAGTATTGGTTAGAGCGTCAGTAGCAGTTTCAGGCACAAATTTCTGAAAGGCAAGATCCAGCATCTCTGCCACTCTGAAATTTCCTACCCAGTTCAGCTTGTGTCACTATGTAGTCCTTGTACGTGTGCTGTGGCTGCCTTAGTGGGTATATCATATAAGGCTGAGAAAGGAAGAAAGCGAACTATTGGAAAGAAGATAGCAAATTGAATGCAGTCTTAAATTGTAACATCTAGTTATAGCCAGTTTCTCTTTGTTACTGATAACTGCTTCTGTTATTGTAGGCATGAGTTGCTAGAGGAAGCCAGAAGACAAGGTTTGCCTTTTGCACAGTGGGATGGGCCTACTGTGGTTGTGTGGTTGGAGGTAAGTAGTTCCTCCAAAATAAGTAATTTAAACACACACACCCCTCCCCCCTTAGTGTACAGACTTCTAAAGAATTTAAGGTTTTGGAGCCAGGAATGTTTTCCAAATCCTGCTTCCTTTTTTGTGTTTCAGCTGTGGGTTGGGATGCCAGCCTGGTACGTGGCTGCTTGCCGAGCAAATGTGAAAAGCGGTGCTATCATGTCAGCCTTGTCTGATACAGAAATACAGCGTGAAATTGGAATTAGTAATCCTCTGCACAGACTGAAGTTGAGGCTGGCTATTCAAGAAATCATGTCACTAACAAGTCCATCTGCGCCTCCCACCTCAAGGACGGTAAGGAAAGTGATCCAGCATTGAACATCTTTTAGAACCATTGAAATTTCCAAAAATTCTACTATAAACACGTAACTGAAACAATTCAAGCTTCAAGTAAGAATTTCTGGAGACATTAAATTCTAGAGGAACACATTATTTAAATATAGGATGTTTCTTCCTTTCATGGAAATTAAATGAAGGATAAAGAGAAGTTTATATCACTGTAAGTATATAATCCAGAGTATTTAGAGTACATGTTATTTGCTTCACCTTTTGGCCTCAGAAGAGTTTATAATACAGATGGAGTGTACATGTGCGTACAGAAATTTGTAAAATAGTTGGAGGCCCTTTTAATCCATTTATAAGGCCACTAACTCCAAATAATGATTTAGCCTACATAAACTAGGAGCCCACCTGTGTCTCTATACTATAGTAAATTCAGACACTTAAAGTTAGTGTGAATTCCCTCTCATGAGTCTGCCCTGCAATCTAAAGTTATTTCTGAGATTCCTGGGATTACGTACTAGACTACAAACGCATTTTTTGATTAGAGCAGAGCCAAGTGTTTGCCTGTTAATTACATCTGTGTAAGCTATTTATCACATTCAGTTTTGTTAATATCTTTGAAGAAAAGTGATCCATGTTAATAGGCTTTTATTCCGTGCCGTTACTTTCAATAGCTATGCCTATACTTAAGACTTCAGAAACCATTGCTTTTGCCCATGCCTGCTCCTTACATGTACCAATTGCTTACATGTTCTGCAACCTCTCCTCTTTGTTACTGCTTTCCTTTCACTGGATGGGATTGCTTCCCTGTGGGGTCATATTAGACCACGGGAAATGTCTGGGTAACACATGAAGAAATGGAAAATCTTACAGCCACACAACAAACGGTTAGTTTATAGTGTTGCCACTTATGTTCCTTAGAGTGCTTTTCCCACTTTTTGAACATTTGAATCAAGTGCCTTTTTGTCTCTTTTCCCTTTTTTTTTTTTTAAATTAACGCATTAAAATTCTGGATCATTGCTTCTTCTAATTATTAACCTTGTAACCTGCATCTTGATAGCTTTTTTCCCAGAAGGGAGGGGAAGAAATCAACACTGATAAGATTGTAAACAAAACTCTTCCTAATCTGTATGACGAAGCTCTGATTTGATTAGCTGATAGACAAATTGAATTATTTGTGCAGAAACTTCTTTTCTCCAGAAAACTTAATCAGTAGATGGGTTTTGCAACCTCTCATATGAAAATGAGTGCCTTGTATATTTTTTACAATGCATGATGCTTGCTTTATCTAGATTTTTTTGGTGTGCAGTAGACTTAGTCTTGCAGTGCATCTTTAACTTTGGTCTTCTTACTAAACTTAAATACTAATACGTATGTGTTCTTTTGCTTTTCTAACCACGTAACAGGAAGATGAGGAGGGAAGCTGGGCTCAGGTTGGAAACTTTATGTAATATTATAGACTATATGTAAACTGTCAAAATAATTAGAGCATGAAAGAATGTTTTTCCTTTATAGCAGTTTCTTTTAGTGACTCTTGTTGTGGCTTGGGGATTGGGAGGGGGGGAAACAGCAGGCTTATCTCTGTATAATACATACTTAGAAAAACGCTTTTATATTTAGGTGATTTAAAAATTTTAATGCTTTCAGTATTTGGTGGTTCATCATGGAAGATATGTAAAATACTTTGTTGCGTAGTACATCACAAAACAAGCTATGCACATGGATTTTTAATAATAGGGCTGTTAGGGGGAAGAATATTCGGAAGTCTTTGTTGTCATTACCTCTCTGAAATATTTATCCTCTAGCTTATGAATCACCAAAATGTAGTTACTCTTTCTTTGTATTGTTGTATTCTATGCATTGAACATACTAGATCAAATTTTAAAATAATTTCATGATGTAAAATACGGTGTGTTTTGGTGGGAGTTAGCTCTCTGGAAGACCAGAAGTCCAACAAGAGTATCTGCTGTGTGCAGAAAGTCCCTGTTCAACCTGGCCACCATCACAGGTGTGCTACAAGACATAATGAGCCTAGGTACTTAAGTAGATTTCTGTGCACTAATTGTGTAATCCTCCGTAATTGTTTTCCCTGAAAGTGGTGACAAATCCTAATTGTATTTTTGGGCATTAAGATAGTTGAGTTTTTTTATACAGGGATATAAACAAAACTCAGGATTTGCACATGACCTGTATCTTTGGACAGTATAGTCTCTTCTTGCTTGGCTGCCCTCCAGCTTAAACCTGTTTAAGTCCCATTAACTATGTCTCAGATACTGATTTGCAGATTGTCATAGCTTGCCTCCCTCTTACAAGAGTAACATGCTCTTTCAGGCTGCTACCTAGCGATGGCTTGAAGAAATGCATTCCTGTGTGGCCTTGTTCCTTTCTAGAAGATGCTTCCTCTAGAGGAGGAATAAAGCTTTTGACTTTTAATTGCACAGTAAAAATGAATTATTACCTTTGACTTTTGGAAAAAGGAGCAGCTGGTTTGTGTTGCTCAAGGAATAATTAGATACGTTAGAAATACTTCCCCCCCGCCGCCCAAAGCCTAGTGCTTTTTTTTTTTTTAGGGTAAGGAATAGCTGTTAGAATTGCTTGTTCTTCAGTAGTGGGTTTTAAACATTTTTTTGCTACTTGATTGGGATCTGTTTCTGAAAACAGCTAAGAGTATTAAAAAAACCCTGCAGTTATTTTTTTGATACCTTGTATTTATATGGTCATGTGAAAAATAAGTTTCTCCCACCCCAATTTTCAAGAGATACAGTATCTTCAGCATCTTAACAAAATTAAATTCTATGACTCTTGCTATTGAAACCCTGTAGATTAGGGGGTTTTAATTTTTATTAGTTTTTGTGGGCTTTTTAAAATACTCTTCAACATGAAATAAAGGCAGTTTTACTTGCTGATCTGAGTATTTAAACTTTCTTTTCTTCACGAGGCTGACTTCTTCAGAAAACATACATGTAGCAGTCAATATTTTTATTTTCTTGTCTTTATAGGCTGAGAATTCAGTAAGCATTGTTTTACTTTTTTTCTTTTAAAATGTGTTGTCTATAAAAGCTTTTCTCTTATTTCTTGTTTTACTAAGCTTACTCCTTAATCTTTTAAAAACAGACGTTAGCGTATGGTGATATGAACCATGAGTGGATTGGCAATGAATGGCTCCCTAGTCTGGGGCTCCCTCAGTATCGCAGCTATTTCATGGAATGTCTTGTTGATGCTCGAATGCTGGATCATTTAACTAAAAAAGATCTGCGTGGACAACTTAAAATGGTGGACAGCTTTCACAGGTAAATAGATTTAGGTTGGAGACCTAACTTACAGTAAATGTTTCCCTTATCTCTAAATGTTTTTTTTTCTTTTTTTTTCTCTTCTAAACAGAAATAGTTTTCAATGTGGAATTATGTGCCTACGAAGACTGAATTATGATCGAAAAGAACTTGAAAGAAAAAGAGAAGAAAGCCAGAATGAAATTAAGGGTTAGTGCATTGTCTTTACCTCAGTCACTATCTGCCTCAAAAATTTATTTTAAAAACCAAAATGGCATTAGGGGGAGGAATTATTTATAAAATGTCAAATCTTAAATACAGATGTGTCTGGATGAAGACCCCAAAGAGTGAATCATGAAACAAATCATTAAATCATTCACTCATGCAGAGATGTGCTCCAAATGCAGGCATTTTTGAAACTCTTACGGCTCTGAAGTTTGAAACAAAACTAAATGTTTTTAGGAAGATGAGGGTTTTGAAAAAGTTTTGGGTGTTTTGGTCATGTTCCCCGCTGCTGCTCCCCCCCCCAGCTCTGTTCTGACATAGTAACCTTGCATTTCTGTGATTTTGTTGTTGCTTGTGGCTGGTTATTTTTATTACCCAGCAGTTTATGAAAAAATACCCATGTGACTTAGGTGTTTCTATCTTACAGATTCATGGTGATTATTGAACAAGAGAGGAGAAAAAGAAGAAAAAGCAGGGTTGGGAATTCACAGTATTTTCCAAGACTTCCCGTAGAAATTTTGTCCCCTGCCTAATATCAGACATCTTTTCTGACATCTTAGACTAAAATTTTAGGGTTCCCATGTACACAATTTGCTTAGAAGGCTCTGTGCCTGCTCCTCCCCTTTCCTTTAAGTGGTGATACCTTTTGGTGGTTATTCTACTAGTTGTGCCTGAGAACATTCCCAGGAGTTGCAACTAACCGGCATGAAACAAGTCTGTGTTGTGGCTGGTAAACCTTTTTTAGCCTCGTAAATGATATTGCTGCATCTGTTGCCTATAGGGAATTGTTCCTTGACACATGTAGCTCTTGAATCCCTCCTGGGAATTGTTTGGGAAGAATACTAGTTGACACAGGCCAGAAATGTGCTGTGGATTATTATAATGGTTCAATTGGTATAGACATTCCTGAGTAGTGTAAAAAAATGTACTTGTAAGAACATAGTTTTTGTTTTGACAGTTATGCTGAACATACAAATTCTGCTTTATAATGTTTTTCTTTGAAAAAGTTCTAAGATTAGAGTATATTGATCATTGAACTGTTACAGTATGAAATGCCTTCCAGCAAACTTCAAAGATGTTTACTTTCCACTTTAAATTTATGATTGTGGAAAAGAGTAGTAGTAGTATGCATACACAAGCTGAAGGTAAGTTTGTGTTACTAAATTGAACATCTTCAGAATTTAAGGGTAGATTATAAAACTACTAAGTAATAAAGCTTTAAATAATAATAAATAAAGCTTTGTGTTCAAATTCAGTAGGAAATGTATGAGAAACTGCTATAAGATTTTTTTTCTTTTGAGTAACAACATTTTTTTCCAAAATACTTAATCTGTTTTGGGTGAGGTACAAGCCTGTAAATGGCTGTGTAAAATAGAAGATCTGTCTTCTCCATTTGCATGAATGCTATGCTCAGCTGAACTTGTCTCATAACTGTGACTGTAGCCTCAGCTGTAGGCAGAGAGAGGAGATCCAACAAGGACTATTCCTTATGGGTGCAAGGAAAGCTACTGTATAGAAGGGATCCGATACTGAGCATTGGAGTCTACGCATAAAGTTTTGTTGCCAATTTGTGTGTTTCACACATACCAAAAAGGCAAGGGCAGAGTAGATCACAACCTAAATGTTAAATAACAAAATTCCTTGAGGGCTGCTACTTAACAGAATTTATGATGAACTGTGTATATGTGAAAATCAATCCCAATCACCATACACATCAAAAGGACTGTGGGTTTTTTTGGTCAGAAAAGTTGTGTTGTATAAATTGGGCAACTTTTTTTTTTTTTCTCCATAGATGTCCTTGTCTGGAGCAATGAAAGAATGATGCATTGGGTAGTGTCCATTGGTCTTAAAGAATATGCGAATAACCTTATAGAGAGCGGAGTTCATGGTGCACTTGTGGCCTTAGATGAATCATTTGATTACAATGCATTAGCTCTCTTATTACAAATACCCACTCAAAACACACAGGTAAGCAAGAAGGGGTTACTTTATGGCCAATAGGACCTTTGTCCCTTGTAGGAAGGTTAAAATTGTGGAACTGACTGGTGTTTTTTCTCAGGTAAGTGCATGTCTTTCTATTTCCAGTTATAGAAACTTTAGAAATGGAAAAGTTGTCCATTGTCCTGTAGAGAAAAATATACAACTATGCTTTTCTCACTGTTCTCTAGTTGCTAATAACAATTCTGGTTGATAAATTTGCTTGAACAAAAAGTAGTGTTTGAATATTTTCCTCATTACCTCATCTTTACAACGTTACTGGATAACTCATCATTTTTGTTGTTCGCTCAGTTTTTATTTTGAAATAATTAAGTTTGAGCTAGAAATCATGAAATTTCATATCACAGTGAAGGGAACGGGGAGCTGTTAAGTCTTCCTTAAATTTTGAATAGCTTACAACTTAGTACTTAAAGTTCAATTTATGTTTATTAATCTGCTAAGATGGTATTAAACAGTTTGGGTTCTTTTAAGTTTTAAAAATTACTATAGATATTCCTACTTACTAATCTTTTGGAATTAACGCCTGTGTTTTTCATACTATAAACTTCAGGCTCGTGCTGTTCTGGAGAAGGAATTTAATAACCTTCTTGCTATGGGCACTGACAGAAGACTTGATGAAGTAAGTTACTTGAGCTGTTGACCCATTTTATGGTCCTGGGAACTTCATTAGAACTGTTAAGTGAAAGAATTTAGCTTGAACTTCTTTAAGCTATTAACAGAATAGTGACAGAAATGTTAACTTGAAATTCTTTGTCTTTGAGAGTTTCTGAAGATGGCAGGTTTTTGTGTATTTAGGTAAGATAACTTTGAATATGAAAGTATTGAGATGATTTGCAAGTTTTTTGTTTTTTGTAGCTTGCATGGTTAATCTCTGTAGCAGTACTTTGGGCCTTATCTTCCATCTAAAATGTGAGAAAATTAGCAACCAGTGTTGCAGATGAACAAGCTGTAATAGAGAAGAGCACTGTATAGCACTACTCAAACCTTTGTCCTAACGAGCAGTATTTCAAATAATTTTGTGTTTTTCAAGAAAGCTTGTGTTGTTGATACCTATCTGTTAATAGTAGTATAGGTGACCACCAGGTATGTTTGCACATCAAAGTAATTTCTATCAGGTAGTCTGTGATCTTACAGTGTGCACACTTCATTCAAATGTAGTGAGTATAAAACTCTAACAAACTAGGTGTGAGACCTTTTTGTAGACCCTGTAAGCCCATAGCATAAAGAAGAGAGTGTTAAATCTTTAACCTTTTAAGTTGCTCGATGCTGTAACTCAGTGAACTTTTTCAAGCTGATTTTACTTCCCCAAGAGACTCCTAACTCCCTGCTACCTCTTCTTTGGTGCTAATGCAAGTTTGTGGTAGCACATGTAGGTGAAAGTAGTTAAGGTTAAGACTAAGATGGCAAGATCCTAATGTGATTAACCAGGTCAGGGAACCAGTCCGCAATATATCAGAAACATTTGTGCTAGTACAAGAAAGAGGACAGGGGAAGCAGGAAAGTCCTGACTTAAATTGCTTTTGGATCAATGAGGTGAAGCAAACACCAGTATGTTAAGGAAGGAGGTTTCCTTCCTTGTTGGTTTTGTGTTCATCTTTTGCCTAATGGACTTGTTGCAGCCCTTTTGTGGCACATTCTGACAATTCTATTCTCAGTATGCATCCCTGCTAAGGTTTTAATAACATCACCAGAAAGCAACTTGATAGTTTTCTAGGGTATTTTCCCGTAGTGATTTCAAACTGCAAGAGAAGGACCTTTGAGGGAACAGATGTTCTAGTGGCACAGGGCAGTTTGTTGATCATGAAGATCTCAAATAATGCAGACACTTGTCTCCTAAAAGGGGATAAATTTTATGTGAAATGCCATTCAAAGGATTGAACTGTTACTAAAGGTGAAGTTGGAAAATGAAGATGCACAATGGGTATATTTGCATTGATATAATACCTTTGCTGGAAAAGTCATTTTTGGAAGTGGGACTTAAACTATTGTATTTAGTAAGTGCAATATTGTATTTCTGAAGTGGAATATTACTTCAAAGATGCAGATGTATTAATGGGGTAAAATGCACCTGGGTAATTACAAGTTAAGTTTACCGAAGTGCTTAAGCAAAACACTGCACAGCAATATAGTGTTTACTACACTTACTTTTTCCTCACTACTACTTCCTGTAATTTGTAGCATGAGAAAGCACAACAGCTTTATCATTCCCATAAGACAGAATTGAAGGTTAAAAGCAATTGTTCAAATTAAGCCTTTATATGTGAGTGTTCCCAAAGCAGCTTTTATGATTTACTGCCCTCCTCATATCCCCTAAGAATGACTGATGTGACACGTAATGAATTACTGCAAATCATGAAGTACAAACATTCCAAGCACAAAATGTTTTCCTAAATGTGCCAAGCACATGAATTTCCATAGTTACTGAGCTGAAGAGCCTGCAGTCTAGCAGATGAACACGGATTGTTGCAAGTGAAGACCTCTGCTGCTGTTGCACCTGAACCTTTCTGAAAATTATCTCATTTGGTGGGGATATATTTACTTAAGATTGTCAGTAATCCTTTTAATGTGAGTAACAACCCTACATTTTTTGAATCACTAATGATGTTTATCAATATAACAGGATGATGATAAGAGCTTTAGGAGAGCACCTTCATGGAGAAAGAAGTTTAGACCAAAGGACATACGAGGTTTAGCTGCTGGATCAGCAGAGACTCTTCCTGCAAATTTCAGAGTTACAACCTCAATGTCTTCACCCTCTATGCAGCCAAAGAAGATGCAGATTGATGGTATTAATTTTGTATTATTTTAAGCATGATGCACTTTTTTTGCTTGAGATTACAGGGGAATTAAGTTCAAATTACCTTTTTGCTGCATAAAAGCATCTGCCTTGTGCATGGTTGTGTACATAACACTGTGTTTAACCATAGGGTGCTTTATAATTTCAGGAAGCTGTAATAGATGTGAAATTTCTTCTTACGTAATTGGAATAACAAAATAAGAATTATAGTTAGAAATAAATTTATTTTAAACTAGGAAAATAAAACTACATTTTAGTAGAAGTCTTTTAATGATGTGATGCATAATTGCTTATTAGCAGGAATTAGATCAATGTAAGTCCCACTTCTGAAATGCAGTAAAATGCATTCAAAAACAGTGCGAGTAAACTGCCTTGGCATTATTAAAACTTGAGTAAAAGTTGCATTACCTCCTCTGCCGTGGTCACTTAAGTATAGATCATACTTGAAATCACTACTTCATTCATTGCTGTATACTTAATGATGTGTGTGATGCATATGCGCACGCACACAGATATGTATTTAAAAAGCCCAAACAAATACAAAAAACCTCAGCTGGAAGTGGAAGCTGATCACCTCTCACATGAGGTATCTTGTCTGTTTAAAAACAGTGTCTTTAGTACCATGAGAATAAGTTTTACTTGGATTTGTTTTACAGAACATAAGTAAAAATAAATGGAAAGTGTATTTAATTGGAAGAGACAGGACGAGAACTTCAACATAATTTTTCAGAGTTGTCTCAGGTTCTGAAAATTGTATTTATGAGTAAAGGTCAAAGAAGCAACCTTTGCATCTGATTTTATTCTCTAAAATGTGAGCTGTTTTTTAAATATTGTCACTAGCACAAAATATTTTCCAGAATTATATGGACAGTTTTGTAAATTAAAATAAGTGAAGTCTTTACCATGTAAAACGTCTTTCTTTTTATGATATTAAAAAACCCCCAGAAAATAAAGAATATATAAAGTATATAAAATGGAGATTAAATTACTTAAAAAATCACCTTTGCCAATTTCTATGTGCTAATTGGCATGCAGACTTTTTTAGAATTCTTCGTTAGCCACTGAAAGTAGAAGTGGTTAATATATAAACTGTAAAATTCTGCTTTTCTAACCTGTAACCTTAGATCGGGGTGAGTACAGTAGCTGTAATCAAATTGCTGTGAGATGTTTTTTTTGAAAACTAACATGCATGCTGTGTTCTGCATGTCTTCCCATGGTTCTTGAAATAGGCAGTGTATCAGGAACACAAAGATTGGATTCTGCAACAGTAAGGACCTACTCCTGTTAAAGCCTTCTCCTGGTGAGTAAAGTTGATAGGCATAATAGTAGAGCAGCTTTTTATGAAATCATGTCAGATATTTTAATACGGTGAATTTACACACAAAACTGTTTCAAGTTTTCAGGGTAGATTGTTAGATTGGAAATCTGTAGCTTATTTCCTACGATGAAGACTGTGAGTGTTTGAATATTTACTTTTGTAAATACTGTGTTCTTTTTAAGGGTTTTTTTAGCATAGGTCCTTTCTGAGGCTGTTTAAATAGCTGTGTAGAAAGTGTTAAAATAAAAGATTGTGTGAAACAGCTAGTGAAAGTGGGGAGGAGGGAAGGGAACTAAATTAGGCATATAAAGGAAAGAAAATTTAATGTGTGACACTGCAATTCAGGTTATTGATCTTTTAGCATCTCTGCTTGGTCGAAGTTATCCCACTGCAATATACTTCCATATTGAATTGTTACAGGGGTAATTACATAGTTTTCTAATTCTTGGATACTTCAAGCCATTGTGATTGCTTAGGCTGTCTGGTTGAATTCAGCTACCTAAATCTGAATTCAGCCTAAATTTGGATAGCCATGAGCAGTGCTGATATAAAAGACACTTCGACAACACAAGGGTGTTTTAACACAAAATACATGTATTCTGGCTTATGAAAGAGATGTAGTCCTGTCTTACTCCAGAATTTGGAATGATTTTTCTTTAGCAGCCTCTGCTGTATTTTCTCATGGAACAGTATTTATCTCGTTTTGCAACCAAGTCTGGAAACGAATTTTTTTTTACTATATTGGATATTTAAAAAAATAAAAATCCAGTGAATCTCTCTCTCACTAGCTGGTGTCTTCCATGGGCTATAAACGCCTGTCTCTTGTGCTTACAGCATCTTTCCTTCTCACCAGTAACATCCCTACCAACTCATGTATTGGCTGCCTTTTCTTCCATTTCTGAACCTTTTTGCATATACAAGCTTAGTTCTAAAGAGTTCTTATGTATGAAATGCTGAAAAGGCAAATGCTTGCACATAGCAACTCAGATCATGTGGATCTGTCAGTTTATGATCTCATGGACTATCTTAATTTTTTTTTTGTTGTTTCAAATCTTTCCCTCCCCCAAATTCTTTCCACTGTTTCAGGATTTTCTGTAGTCAGATCACCTAGGATAAAAATCTAGGAAGCAAAAATGTTTGACCTCGTGTGCTTTACTTTGCTTTGCAACTGAAGATTGCTGTTGGCAATAAAATTGTATACATGATGGCATGGCAATACTTAGATGCATGACTGCTACACTACTGAGCTGTTTTTGAGAAACTTAGAATGAAATGTTTTTTTAAAAAACTAATGGAATTTTTTTGGTGTTTTTTGTTTTTGTTGCTGTTTTTACAGTTTACCCACACTATTTCTACCGGTAATATGCAGCATTTTGAACATTTGGAACCCTTAACCTGTTAATACTTGTTAAATGGACACTTTGAGATATTTTATTACAGAGTTTTAAATTAGCAAATAAATTCATGAGTACTATAGAGAAAATATTTTAGAATCTAAATGTTTCTTATATTTATGTGACTTCTCATTTATATAGTTACTTACTTTTTCTGTTTCTATTCAGTCTACAAATCAAGTCATTGCTGATTTTTTTATTCTAATTTTAGTCTTTCCAACTGAATGTACTGTAATGCTTGTATGTATATGTCCCTATAAGTAATATAGGGTTTTTGTAAATTATGCAGTTACTGTAATTATCATTGTTTTTTAATAATGAAACTGAAGGTGAAAAGGATTTTAATACCTTTGTAAAAGTATCATGACACCAAGCAGTATATATTTTGTCTTTTGGAAATGTTAGCTTAAATCTGAAATAAAAGTCCAGCTTTTTTTCAGGTAAGCGTATGTTGTTGTAGAAGGTATGGTACATGATTGTTCTTCTTTTCAGAACTGTACCTTTCCACAAAGAGGATTTGTCAAGTACTGGGAATTTTGTTTTTATTTAAAATATAACTCGTTTTAAAAGCTGGGAAGAACTATAACACTATGAAACACTTTTGTAGAAGTGATTGACTCGGTCATAACACTCTCTGCTGTATTTGTCTAGCGTATCTTCACAGTGACTGAAACCAAGCCATAAACCAAGAACTGTGTTTGTGTGTTTTTTTTTTTTTTTTCTTTAACTGAGGAAGATATACTTCATAATAATTCCTGGTCGTAATCCACAGGCCACAGAGAGTTTTTGTCCTAGATCTTTTTGATTGAAAACACTTGTGGAAAGATGCTGGTGCAACTAGTTTTAATGGACCAATCATGAAGCACTGCAGTCTCATGTCAAACGAGTAGTGAAAGATGAAGGTACAATGGGCTGAAAACTAAAGCAGTGCAACTTCTAATAAAGGCCTTACTTTTCTTATGTAAGTCATCTTTTGTGTTTTGTAAACTTGTTCTAAAGACTTGTCTGGACTTTAATTTTGGTGGTTGTAGCCGTTTTGGACTATATGAGTAGAAAATGTATCCACACTTGTAAATGGCATATTAAAAAGCCAGCAAGAATCTGTTCAGACGGTGCATTATTTATTATGCAACAATATATATAGCATGTCTTTTTTTCTTATTTTGTGTTCCACTTTTAACTTGCTTGTAAAACTGAAATGCATTGTTACTGTTCCGTTTTTCTATTAATCTTTTGTGTATTTTCAGATTATGTAACAATATGTACAGTCTACTTTTGAACTATTTTTATCACAGTATTATTTATTGCTTTCTTTCAATAAAGTACTGATGCATTTTCCACTGCCAATAAAACACTATTGCAAAGCTAAGATCTAATTGTATGCAGGCAGATACTTTGCGGTGAGTGGATATTGTCAATAAAGCATCTTAATGATTGTTTGCTGCCCTGTAGATCTTGTTTCAAATTATGACTTTTCTCCAGTAGAAAAATGTTCCATTAGATGTGACATTTTCTTTGGAATTGTTCAAATTCACATATGTTACTCAGTTTTTTTGAAAACCAGTTTTCAGCAGAAAACTGCTTTATTGCCTACTTCTACTAGTAGTTAGTGCTGTGATTTACTTTTAAAAAAAGTAACAAAAACTGTCACACAGCTTCAGTGTGTTCTGGTCCACGTGATGGAAGACTGAAGTGCTGTTCTACATAGCAGCAACAGTTGCTTTGTTAATAAAATGAGATTATGACCATGGTGGTGTTTGGGGAGAAACATAGTAGTCGAGGGAACCAATACAAAATTGGGTCACAATAGGGCTGTTTATGTCAATTTTAATATATTTGTAAACCATTTCTTGTGTAGAAGAGAAGACAGAAGGATAAACTTACAGACTAATCGAAGCAGTGGTGAAGTGTATTTCATCATGTCCTCTAGATCAACAGCAGGATGTGGAATGCATGGAATGGAGAAATATTGTGATTGATGCTTGAAACATTGTTCTATAATGCATCTCTGTCTATCTTGTCTATATGAGTTGCTGTCCGATCATTTGCAGTCTCTTTTATACTTTCAGAGAATCTATCTTTCTAGAAAAAGCTAAAATGAAACTGCAGAAGGAGATCCTGACTCACTGTTCAGCTAAACTTCACTGTTTAGAAAAAAATTGCATAGACGTTTCTGGTTACTGGTGTGATAGTAGGTGTTCAAAGTCATGTATTGTTGCTTCTCAAAAGTGAAAACAACGCGGAATAGACTTGTAAAATGTGAAAAGAAAATAACGTTATTATTTTAAGGCTGTAAAACCTTAACTGTCATGGAACAATGGAATTGACATGAGAGCTAGAATAAATGAGTGAAATAGAAAAAGCTTTCACGAACTGGCAAAACTGTGTGTTGACTTCCTTCTGAGTTATACAGCAAAGCTCTCTCAGAGAAATTGAAAAAACCACTTCTCACTCAATTTTAATAAAACCCCTTGGAAAGAAGAACATGCAAGTGCATGTGTAAAAGGCATATGGGTATGTTACAGTAATCTTTAAATAAAGCTTGGTTAAATATATATATTTATATAAATTGCCAAATGTCTTTAAAGGCTTTAGTTGGAAAGGGTGCTGTAAGAATTTAAGTATGCATTTTATCTGCAATAAGGAGATGGTAGAATTATCCGAGAACTTTAAACTTGCAATTTTGCAATGTTTAAAGGGCAGGGAGTCCCAAAACTTCATGTTTCTCTTTTCAAACTGATGTAGAATTAAAAGATGAGAAGTTGCTTTTGCAGTGTTTTATGGACAGGAGTGCTTTATCATGCCAATCCTCAGCGTAGTGCATATGTGGAGTAGTTCAAAGCAGAATTTATGCTTGGAACTGGGTAGACTAAAGATTGTGGCGGTGGGAGGGGAGGGGGCAGGGGTGACAGCAAAATTAATTTTCAGGTAAGTAAAAATAGACACAGTGTTATGTTTGAAGACTTACTTGAGGGGTGATATTTTTTTGAAACCAGAGAGTTACTTTGCCTTTAAAAAGAAAGTGGGTTTTTATTTCTTGATAATTCCATTTTCAGGGTCGTCATTTTGGTGCACTGCTTAAACTCAAGTTGTTATAAATTTTATTAATTTCATTTTTCTTAATAGTAATTTTTGCCAAAAAAGGCAATTGCAGTCTAATTTAGGGAGCAGCACCTCGTGGTTTTAGATGGCATATAGGAATGGATGCATAAAAAGTGATCCATAAATGTGTTATTTCAGCCTGTAGACAGCTGTAGACACAGCAACAGAGCCAGAAGTGATGCCAGAAGGTTCAAAGTGCTCTGAGCCTGCTTTTCCTCCTCTAGCAAACATCTTTTTCACAGTAAGTGTAGCCTAATTTTAAAAATATTCTATGTTAAAGTTATAGGGTAAATTACCCTGTGTTTAATACAGAAAAAAATGAATGGAGCTTATCTATACTGTGAACTGACTACCTAAAGCCAACTGGAGGTAGCTGTCCTCCATCCAAAACTTGTGGAATTTTTTTAATCTTGCCCTTTATTATGGTTAGAATTTGTATATTTATTTGTAATTTTTTTTTTCTGGAAATGTCAGTCCTTGGAGTCTGTTGCCTTTCCTCCAAAAGGTATAAACAAATAGCGGGAGAACAAGTAACTTTTTCCTTTTTGCATCTGTTTCATTTAGACACCCTGTGAACCTTTTGCCCCCTGGTAATGTGATGGGAACCCCCTCAAGACGATGTGCTTGCAATTTCCAAAACATGATGGTGCAAGAAATTTAAAAACAAAAAAAAATTTAAAGCTACACCGAATCTATTGTAGCCATTTTTAAACCGCTGACGGTGCATTTTTTTGAAGTAGCAGTGCTAATTCTCGCTTTTTTGGAAACAGGGAAAGAAGCAACTACACTATGGCTTTAAAAATATATATATCCTTCCTCCTTCCTCCTTTTTTTGTTTTGTTTGGGTTTGTTTGTTTGTTTGTGGTTTTT